ATAAACTAAGGTGGTAAAACAAATTAGTTGTATTACCAGTCTTGGTGGGGACGACGGTCTTGCATAATTTACAGACAACATTGGTCTGACTTATAAAATCCAAAAAACTCCCATACTGGCGAGCTGACCTTTCCATTTTTTTCCACAATTTCCTCGCTCGTTGCGGCACTCATCTTTCACTCGCCGTGCTGCTTTCCACACCACGCTGTTTCTGGAAACAAACACGAGACAACGAGATGGCGCAACCACACATGATACTGTTACATGATTGGCTATTAGTGTGTCACTCCATACGTACCAGACGACGAGTGCCTTTGTTCATGCAACCAACCTTGCTTCGCAGCCAAAGCGGAGCTGAACTTACGCCGGTTTCTATCGAGATACATATCGTTATCGTTTTATCGCCCAGCCCTAGTACAGGGTGAATACATGAGGTAGAGGAATCACTTGAGACAGTGTTGCAAAGCTCAGTTAATGTAATACAAGTGAATTTTCCCATGGTTAAATCTTTTTTCTTCTCTTATTGGATTTTGTTATTGAAGAATGATGCAAGTTATTCAAAATGTGATGCAGAGAACTGCGGATGGGTGGGGAAAGTGTTAAGTAGCTGATCAATAGTAGAGAGTTTCTGTGTAATAATCCTGGAAAAGTAATCCTTTCTTGCTAGATGTATTACTTTTTTATTTTCTTTCAGCTGCTCGATAAATTCTCTTAATTAACATTCATTAACGTTATCGTTTAACCACTGGGAGATTATCAGTCGACCTCTTTTTAAGCTTCAGTAGAGCAACAGTATTTAAAGCAGATCTCAAGAAGAAAATGAAGCAGCAGTTTTATTCAAACACACAAATATGAGTCTTTCTGAATTAAAGGGGAACTTTTTGTTGATCGCTTTCGCAGTAAAAACACATATTCAGAGATGGTTTCTTTGAAAACGACAAAACATGTCAATAATGACTGTTCATATTCAGAAAATGCAAAGCAAGTTGGATAAAGCATTTAAATAATGAATGTGTTCATTAAACGTATTATTAAAGGTTAGCCCACCCCTTAAATGTGGTGCAGTTTGTTTCTGATTGAGACTTTATTAGTAGAATTATAAACAGCATTTATACAGAGCTCTTTTCAAGGGGCGCACGTGTTATGAGTAAAACATTTTCTTACATTTACTCTTTTGCTTTTTGCAGTTTTACATTTCAGCATTTATCTGATTTTGAATACACATTTGACTTCTACAGGTTTTTGGTCCGTGTTTCGTATCTGGAGATTTACAATGAGGAAGTGCGAGACTTGTTGGGCAAGGACCAGATGCAGAGGCTCGAGGTAAAAAGATATTAAAATTCAACACTAAACACTTCATCACTTCAGGGATTAGTAACAAATCTGATTTAGAGGATCTGTCATAAAGGGCATAACAGTAATTCTTTTTAAAAGGGTAAAATTTGCAGGAGATGGCTGTATAGATTGGTTTCTATTAACTGTTTGACATTGACATCAGTTGTCCATGATAAAGTTGAATTTTTTTCATCACAGGTGAAAGAAAGACCAGATGTTGGAGTGTATATCAAAGACCTCTCTGGTTACGTCGTGAACAATGCTGATGACATGGACAGGATTATGACACTGGGCCACAAAAACCGTAAGAAAAATAACCAACAGCACTAAGACAAACACTTTAATTTTATTAGTCACTGAGATATTTATCTGTGCAGTGCATAAAACCACATGAATGAGACAATAAAAAACTCCTTTCTGTCAAGAAATGGAAATATAGACAAACATGAAAAGATCCTTAAGCAGTCTTGCAGTTTTGCATTATATACAGTATTGTGTGGATTCAGCTAATTGATGTATGTAAAATAAAACCCCTGTAATTAGTTCCTTATTTAAAATACAATGCTTGCAAACTATTATGCAAAGGGCTTCTGTGAAAAGATATTTAAAGTCTTACTACACCCTTCAGTTCTGCCAGCTCCCTCCCTTTAAGCAAATTTTAAAGAAAATGCATCAGACCTGCAAAGGACGACGGGACAAGCAACGTTTTTCTGCTGAAAACCTATGTATACTGGTATTGTGTTCAGTTTAGTAATGGGTAATTTAGGTCAGGTCAAATCTTGACATTTCATTGTTATGCATTGTTATTATGCTATAATATGCATAGCAACCTCCCTCTACTGGTTGAAACCTGGCTATTGCAATTGGATTTTACTGTTGGCTGATCTGGAGGCAGGTGATGTAGGTAGTGACAGCTTTCATCACCAAGAAAATAACAACAATTTTGCTCAAATAATAAAGTTAGGAAGTATGTCGTCTTAACTCATATGAGTCCTGTTGTCTGATCAAATGTTATTTCACTGTGTTTAGGCTCTGTCGGTGCCACAAACATGAATGAACACAGCTCCCGTTCTCACGCAATCTTCACCATCACCATCGAGTGCAGTGAGAAAGGAGTAGATGGAAACCAGCATGTGCGAATGGGAAAGCTTCATCTGGTTGACCTTGCAGTATGTATCTGGGGCCAGAAATCTCTGTGTAAAAGTAAACCACTTCAGAGAAAATGAGGTCATACAGATGTAACTATATACGGATGTGTGCCTTATCGCCCACAGTCCATCCGACCATCACAAATTAATCTGCCCCCCCTTCCCACTACAGGGTTCGGAGAGACAGGGCAAGACTGGTGCAACAGGTCAGCGTTTAAAGGAAGCGACAAAGATCAATCTCTCTCTCTCCACTCTGGGTAACGTCATCTCTGCCCTGGTGGACGGCAAGAGCACACACGTGCCCTACAGGAACTCCAAACTAACCCGTCTGCTGCAGGATTCACTAGGAGGAAACTCCAAGACCATGATGGTAGACTGAAAGTTTGAAAACAGTAGTAGAAGCATCTGTGCAACAGTTGGCAATAAATGTGCAAATAAAATGTTCTAAGCGTTTGTATATTCTAACCTTTTCACTCAACAGTGACGTTACAGTTTTTACTTCACTTTTTAAATGTAAAACCTCTCCCTGCCAGTGTGCAAATATAGGTCCTGCAGACTATAACTATGATGAGACCATCAGTACCCTGCGCTATGCTAATAGGGCTAAGAACATCAAAAACAAAGCCAGGATCAATGAGGACCCTAAGGATGCCCTGTTGCGCCAGTTTCAGAAGGAGATTGAGGAGCTCAAAAAGAAACTGGTGGAAGGTAATGAGCCAGACAGTAATCATGATGTTTGGATTACAAGTGCGGTTTAAAGGCTGACACATCCGCTTTTAAAATGGTGTTTTGTGCGATTCTAGGTGAAGAGATCTCTGGCTCAGAGGCCAGTGGATCAGAAGAGATGGATGAAGGTGATGACGAAGGAGGGGAGGCAGGAGAAGGCCGCAGGAGAAGAAGAGGTACGTATCTGTAATGCATGCACACATAGATTTAAGTGTGCATTAAGGTCAGATGATTGAAAGTCTGCTGGTGCAAACTTCGTAAGCCTGTTTTTCATGCAGCGGTTTGGTTTTGGTAAACATTTAGATGTATATCTGTAATTTGTGTATCACATTTAATCTGTTATCATTATGGTGTTCATTGTAATTTGAGTCAGCATTCAGTTCCTCATAATTATCAAGTTGAAGTTGCTTTGAAGTTGCTAGTTTGGGCTCTGCTCTTTGTTAACAGGCTTCCATAAACAACACTGTTCTCATTTAGGAGTTTCCCTTGTATTTCTCACCTTCCACTCTTCTCTGCTTTTAAGGGCAAAGTGTTAAATACATATGATAATCATTGTTAACTCATCATGTTATGTGCTGACTCTAATGTTCCAGAGATGCCATGTTCTTTCCAATACTATACTATTCGTTACTCTGAATTAATAGTAGCCAAGTCAGTCAACCTCTGTGAGTATGGTGCTGTATGTGCAATTTGCATGTGTGGACCGACAGCTGCTTGATTTGTTAGACTTACATAAACCACCTATATTTTGCTTTAACCTCTGCAAACCTATTGCTCATAGATCTCTCCATTTCTACTTGTTACTCACTGCGGGCTTTGGTGGGAACGGTGCTTCCTCTGTTTCTTTTCCAGACAGTGGCAGCAGCAGCAATAGCTCAGAGTCTGCCTGCTCCTCCTCAGTACCACGGCCCACTGAGGACAAACCTCAGAATAGTGAGTTGGAGCAGCACTCTGCTCTACCAACCCACCTGCCCACAAACTCAAGCCCTTTTCACACATAGAACGCGTAAAATGGCTGGTTTTAAATGAGCATGTATGGCACTGAGCTCCTCTATACAGACAAATCCCATGTTGTGTCCGTCGCTCATGACCAATCCAGATTTTCTTCTTGCCATGCTGGAATCACTTCTGAAAGATGTCAAGCTTAAAAAGTTACACCAAGGATGAATAATATATATATTGCACAGCTTGCCTATGTGATTAATAAGCATATTTTGCAGAGGATCAGTTATTTATCTCCATTTCTTGATTACTGAACACAGGCAGTGCTTTGGGAGGCTAAAGTGGGGGTACTTAAGCATCCGCAATAGTTGTCAAAACACCCTGTAGCTCCCCTTGAGGAATGTTCCCTGTGATTTTTTTATCATAAATTAAATATGACAGAGAATTCTGCAGTCTACAGCCAGACTGCTTTAGTTAAAAAGTGAAAAACAGTTAAATTTTTTTTTTCTCCTTTCAATTCCTGATTTGCTTGCATGCTGTTTGTAGCTTTAAAAGTTGGTAAATAATTTGTAAACAGTTGGAATGAATTCACATTGAAAATTTTGTCACTTGACTGATGTGTGGGTTTTTTTTGTTACGTTGTGTGTGTAGGTGTTTTTTTTGGGGGATTTCCTGATGACTTGATGTCTCATCTACAGCCTGAGTCGTATTTCCTTTCTAAAGTGGTCGGCTCATTAATTTTTGTTACCTTTACTGTAGAGTATGCGAAGTAAGCGGCTCAGCTGTCTGAAGAAGGGTGTACCTTGTTCATATTATAATACAGCAGGCCTGCATAAACATTTTAATTTAACTTAACATAAAAGAGGAAGATTTACCTCCGTTGAAATAATCTATCAGCAGAAAAACTAAAAGTCAAACAGACAAAGATTTAAGTTGTATTTGGTGAAAAGATCTTGGACATATTGGAGAAGTGATTAGTTTTTGGGACATACTCGGATCCAAGTGTAGAATCTGGAATTGCTTTTTAATTTTTAATTTTTAAATGTATGCTTTTAACAGACAGCAGAGAGATGATACGAAATGAAGAAAGAGAGAGTGAGACTGTGGCCGCGACAAAGTTTATCAGTCGGATGTGAACATGACGGGCACCTTAACCATTAGACCAATTTCCTCTGAAAAGATTTCTTAGCATCTTTTACATTGATTACATGTTTCCCATAATTGTCTGTCACAAAGTGTTATAATACAGATCTAGATCCAAATGCAGATACAAATTGCTGGATATTTTCTATTATTAAACATTTTTTAAATGAACAACGTTAGAGGTGTGTGCAGCCTACGTTTAATGAGGCATGTGATCTCTTTCTAGTTTGCATTGCATTATTAATTCAGAAACTGACAATTTTTTTTTTAGCAAGCAACCAACCTTCTCTGGTAATGTTAATTGTATTGACTGTTGAGCTATTTAAAGTCCTGAGTAGGCAGGCCAGGGGGGATTTTCGTAGAGCATTTATGAATTACATTGCATGTGTGAAAGGGGCTTAATAGTTTCACTTTGTCTCTACTATTCCTGTTGGCTTACAGCCCAGATCCCCCCACTGTTACTGACCACACTCCTCAATTTTTATGTCACAAATATTGTTAAGACATTCGTGCAAATGACTGCAAAGGTGTGCGAGCGTTGACAAAAAAGTGAATTCAAATGGGACGAAGTGATCAGTTCAAAGGACTGATCTTATCTTTTTTTCACGCATGACTTAAAGGACCACACTTTTGACATCCGAGACTGTTGCTGGATGACGATTTCAGTTTTTGCTTACACCTCTTCCAGGCTGTATTGTATCAACTCATGTCCTTCAAAGATGCAATTCACCCACATCATGTTTCATTATGTGAAGTGATGTCTTTTGTTTTTTTGCCTCATGTCCAATCACTGTCACTACCCCTAAAGCATTTTGTTATTATGACTGAACCCTCTTTTTCTGTTTGATTTCCCACTCCTTGTTCTATTTGTGGTGTTTCACCCTATAGAGTCATAAGACTTTCGAGATCACTACGTAATGTGTTGCTCTTTCTCTCTCTCTCTCTCCTCTTCCGGGCACAAATGCTGCCTGTCTGGCTTGCTATGCACCTCTTAATTCAAGAAGAAAGAGGTTGGTGTAAGAATATACGTAGTCCTACTGTCATGTAGCAGTGGTGTCTCTACTCGCTAAAATTTTCCAGATGCTGCCGTGTCACTAACTCTGACTTATCCGATAATTTATTGTATAATCGCTGTTAACCTTTTTCTGTCCCTCCATATATGACTGCCACCCATGAGTCTCATGTTCCTCATCTTCACAGCCACCATGTCATATATGATGAGATAATCTTGCACTTTATATAGTTAAGCTTGTTTTCAGTTTTTGCTTAAACTAACAATAATTATTTAATACTGTGCATTAACAAGTCAAACACGTTGTGTTGCTGGATCTCGCTGGCACTCACTGTTAGGACTGAGGTTCCTTCAAAAAAACGTATGAATTTGACTTCTGTAGAACAGACGTATGAACTAAAACTGCACATATTAAATAATACCAATGCTGATAATCGGCATTGGTATCATTTAATGAATTTATCTGCATTGAAAGTATTCTAACCTCTACATCTACGAGTACTTGGTATGGGAAGATGCATCTAAAACTACTTATGAATTAAAGACACTATGGTTCCCTCTGTCTCTCTTAAGGGAGGAAGAAGGTTTCCCCAGACAAGATGGTGGAGATGCAGGCAAAGATTGAAGAGGAAAGAAAGGCACTGGAGGCCAAGCTAGACATGGAAGAGGAGGAGAGGAACAAGGCAAGAGCAGAGCTGGAGAAGAGGGAGAAGGATCTCCTTAAAGCCCAGTGAGTTCATGAAAGGACAAAAATATTTCTACTGAACTTTTTAAATGTGATATTCAATATGATACAAATTAAATCATCTGGAATGTCTTCTTCACTTGTAAGCTGATGTGGTAATGTGTTTGCCACTCATTTGATACCATATCTACCTCTAATTTCGCAGGCAGGAGCATCACCTTCTGCTGGAAAAATTGTCAGCCTTAGAGAAGAAGGTGATTGTAGGCGGGGTAGACCTCCTGGCTAAGGCTGAGGAGCAGGAGAAGCTTTTGCAGGAGTCCAACAATGAACTGGAAGAACGTCGCAGGAGAGCGGAGCAGCTGCGGAGGGAGCTAGAGGAGAAAGAGGTGAGGATGGATCACAGTTAGCATAGTTGATTCCACAAAATACTATTTGTCCAAAAATCAGTCTATCAAATACTTCATCAAGTAGATCAGCTGGTAGATCAAGTTAGGTAACCAGATAATATCATCTAATGATCATACTGGAGTTAAATGCTTACTGTTGTATTTGTTTGTTTACTGAGTCGAGATCTAAACTATGATCTAACTATCAATAAATAATCTGCCACAGATGCAAAATAAACCCCAGACATGCCTTACCGTGGGTGGGAAAATATGATCTCTTTTACCACAGTTTACATGAGGTAGTAATCGCAGTATTAACTGGATTTACCCTGAAACGGCTGCATCATTGTGGTCGGAAAATATGGTTAGAAGCTCAAAGTCATACTCTTGCTTTCCTTGTATTCATGTGGAAAAAATACCTAGTTCAAAGAAAAGCCAAGGAGACCTGTTTCATTTTAGTTTCAAATATTTTGGACGTAAAATATTTATTTCAGCATCTTTTGCACTATTGTCTACTGTCTACTAATGCTTATATATATGCATAACTGTACATATTAGTCTATGTCTATGCTGTTAGTCTGTGTTTGTACATTGTGATGTGCACACATACCTGCCCAATAATAGTGATTCTGATTCTGATGATGCAAAACTCAGGATTAAAACAATTTTAAGGCATCATTTTGACTTGGCCCTTTAATCTGTCTAGGTTCTTCACAGTCATGACCAAAGACTACAGCTTGCTTGTAGACCGAGTTTGCTTCTGCTTAATCACTCATCCTCTCCCTCTTAAAACAGCAAGAACGTCTGGACATAGAAGAGAAATACACTAGTCTGCAGGAGGAGGCTCAAGGAAAGACCAAGAAGCTGAAGAAAGTATGGACCATGCTGATGGCTGCCAAATCAGAAGTAAGCATAACATAAAATAGTTTTGATCCATAGCCTCTTATGAGAGACTATTTACTAAAACACTTTAATCAGAGCTTAAACTTCTAAGTTCTGAAACTCGATTTGATTAATTAGGGGAGCCAAATAAATTCATCCACTGTGGTCGTCGTGTTTTGTCTGTTAGATGGCAGATCTGCAGCAAGAGCATCACAGAGAGATTGAGGGTCTCCTGGAGAACATTCGTCAGCTGAGTCGAGAGCTGCGCCTCCAGATGCTCATCATAGACAACTTTATTCCCCAGGAATACCAGGTGTGTATTTGTACTCATATTTGTAGCTCCACCACTTGTATTGTTCCCTCACATCTGCACACAAAGAAAGAAAAAGCTGGCATGGTCACTGACTGACTTTCACTTTATTTAGGTTGTGTGGGAACTGTTCATTGTCATTTATACAACTGTTTTTTTCCTATTCTGTGTATAATAACCCGAAACGAGGTCTGGACTGAAAAGCAGCTAATAGAGATGATCCACTGGCAGTGAATACAAGATTCTTCTTCTCATTATAAGACATGACCTTGTGGAACAACATCTTAAATCTATGAAATTATGAACATGTAGCAAGCTGCACACATTGTACAAACACAAATGAAGTGAGGGCACACAGTGACAAAGAGAATATTCTTGAGTTAACAACATTTTTAAATGTCTGTCCTTGTTTCTAGTATTTATATTTTCTCACGTTTTTCTGTGTAGGAGATGATAGAGAATTACGTGCACTGGAACGAAGACATTGGAGAATGGCAGCTGGTGAGCTCACTTTGCATAACTCGTGCACAGATTTCGTGCGATTTGATTGACATGAATTTAAAGATGCAAACTCTCAGTTGAGGAATACATACCATAAATCTTCGTCCTATGTCTTTCAGAAATGTGTGGCATACACTGGCAACAATATGAGAAAACAGACCCCTGCTCCAGACAAAAAAGAAAAAGACGTGAGTTCTTGTTTTTGTGTAATGACGGGATGTTCCTGATCTTTTTTCTCTTTTCCCTCCTTGGCAATGTATTGTTAGCCTCACCCTTCTTCTGTCTCTGCCTCCTGTAGCCATTTGAGGTGGATCTGTCCCATGTGTATCTGGCCTACACAGAGGAGAGCATGCGGCAGTCACTGATGAAACTAGAGAGACCCAGAACCTCTAAAAGCGGCAAGAGTGGCCGGCCCAAGACTGGACGAAGGTAATCTACTTTCTACACAGACAGCCTGAAGCTCCACATCCCTTTGAGCATTACTGATATACCAGTCCACTTTGTAGTTTCTTACAGCATGTTTCTTCCATCAGTCTTTACATTTTCATCATTTCAAGAATGTCTTAGGCCCTGGGCTACATGCAATTCAAGCGCGGTCCTCCCCCTGGTTGTGCACCGAACGCTGTTTTGTAGCTTTCAAAAATTGCAAGAATAATATCTTGTACAGTTTAGCAGACTAGCTAATAACTAACTAAACCTGACTCAACAGCACTTTTAAAGGCTTCAGTTGAACCGTGTATGTTGAAATTGTGAGCTGTTTTTTTTTTTTTGCTGTTCATGCTCATCATGTGACAGGGAGAGAGATGTCTGATTGCAGCGTAATTTTAATGTGTCTTCAGCTGCTAATATCGCAGGGCATCTCTCATAAATGTGCACTTCCACAGATCATTCACTGGCGTCGTTACACTTTGAATGATTGTGTATGCATCTTGGAGAGAGTGATGCATTCACACTTTTTTGTCATCTAGGTCAAGTGTGTCTTAACCACCCCCAATGTGGTTTGAACATATTCAAGTTCATCTCTAATGTTTGTTGGTTGCATTTTCACTATTTTTTATTTCAGATCTTTATCTGATTTGCAGAAGACACAGGACGTGAATAAGTGCCTTGAAAGCTAAAACCTGATTCTGGGGTAGTTTGTTCACACTGTTAGCTGAATAATCTGCAACCTTTAGCCCCTCACAATTTCAACTTGTGGTTTCACAGTTTTTCATATGTATTTCAGTGAGACTACATTGAGTTATTTATTGTGGATGTCTGTCCGTGCTGTATAATTGCGTCTATTTATAGATTGTAGATATGAAGCGTTAACATGATGGTATTTGCCGTTTATCATGATACACCGTAATTCTGAGAAATGCGAACGCCGTAAGCTGCCTGAAGTTGTTGATAACGTTTATCGTGTACTCATCTCCACACAGGAAAAGATCTGCAAAGCCAGACGCTGTGATCGAATCCCTCCTGCAGTGAACACGGCCTAGAGAAGAGTTTAGTCTCACTGTAGCTTTTATGTTACTTTAGGAAAAGAAGTCATTAGTGCAGTCTGAAGAATTTATTGTTGAATATTATTTAAAAGACGATCTGAATACACTGTATAGTTGGTTAAATGTGAAGGAGGTGTGTCTATGGTAGGATCAAGACCTCTTCTGTTACTTGTATTATAATCTAAGACTTCTTTGAAGATGTCCAACATTTTAATGGAACACATTTCTGCAGCGTCAGCCAACAAAATAAGTTATTTTACCCAAGCACCTCTAGCATTAAGGAGGAATTTACCATGCACATATTTCACTTGCAACATCATTGGTTAGGATATGACCAACTCTCTAAAGGAAGTCATAGAATTGACAGGATGTTGAACATATAATTGAAGACATGAACTAGAAACTGCATTAATGTTCATATTTTGTGAAATTTGTTAAGTGTATTTAACATGCAAACTGTTTGGCAGTGAACCACACACTGATTCTGTATTATGGATTTCCTGCTATGTGAGAAAGTGATTCATATTAAGTAAGCCGTGCTGATATGAATGCATTATAATCTAATTAACGGTGCAATTTCACTTAAATTAAAGCAAATTATTCTACTCTGAGTATAAGTTGTAGCCTCAATGTTTCTTCCCATTGAATTCAAGAAATCATTAACGTGGAGAAAAAACTAAAATAAACACTAATGTGGTGGGAACAAGGAGAGGAGAGTATGTAGTATCAAGTATGTAACTGAAAAGTGTGTTTTATACTTCTTTTAGATCAGACGTGTAGGGGCATGCATGCCAGCCAGCTCTTATGTTGGTGCCATTTGCTAATCTAAGCATTAATCATTTACAAATGTCAGAACACTTTGTGTTATATTGAAATACCCTATACATACTGTATGCCTTAGTATAATGCACTATGAGGTTTTTGTGGGGATGATTTGATTTTATGATGTTCTGTAGATGGAGGAAAACTGGTTTTTATTTTGTATCATAATGTATGTCAAATGTTTACATCCACCAAACCCCTGGATATTTTATTCATTAAATTATTTTACACGTTATATCTCACATTCTTGCCGCTCTTTCCCTGTTTCATGAGTTTGTTGGTGCTTTGAAAATTTTTTATAATGAAATGTAAAAGCAGCTTCCGTAAACCTAAATAATGTTGGTGTCTTAAAAAAAAGTAGCCTTGCGTTCAAAAAGTGTTGTTCTTCAGTGTGAAACAGCTGTTACTGACTGAACAGACACCTGAAACATTATAAACTGGTGTGACAAATAAGACACTGTCATGAAAAACCACTGTCACATTATAATTTATTGGTGTTTGAATACAAATAAAATGCAAATATAACATTTGTAAGAAAATAAATAGAGCATTTTACAATAAATAGAATAATTTACTTAAATAATAAATGTGATCACTCGTATTGATTCGTGGTGGGTTTGCTCATTTTTTTTCAGGACTTAAAACATTTCTCGACGTCCTGAAGAACTTTGCGTAGAAAACATTTGGAGTCCTTCTCCAGTCGACATTTTGTCTCATTGTGGCACTGAAACAAAATTATTTTGACAATTTTAGTTTTAATCGCACAAAGATCTATTTAACTTACTGAATACAGAACACGTGTGACATTAAAGAGCATAAATTCATTGTTAGAACTGATGCCATTTCAAATTTTGTTTAGGAATGTTAGTTTGTTTTCAGACTAAAAAGCATACTGAACATTGAATTCCTCTTTACCTTGTTGTACTGGTCCAAGAGATGGATGAGTTTTTCTAATGTGGTGCGGTTCGTGCTTTGGTTCAGAGCCTTCTCAGCTAAACAGGAGAAATGTTTCTGTAAAAACAAAGGAACAATTAGTAACAATTAGGACTGAGTTAGTCTAGAGGAAACCAGCAACACTTCCACAGTGTGGACATTACACGAAACACCACTGAATACAATAATCACAATAATTGTAAAATCTTTCAAACGTACCACACATGTTGCGTGTCCAGTTGTCCATGGAATCATTTCCTTGTTCTTTAATGACAAGATAAGAACGTCAGTATAATCAAACAAACAAACAAACAAACAAACCACATATGGTTTTGTAGTTCTCTTACCTGGTCTGTCACATTGTGTATCATCCGTTTTGCTTCATCATGAATAAGGCGTCTGAAATCGTCAGCACTGGTGTTATTACATCCATCATGACTTCGTTTCAGCCTAGCTCTTTTGCTTTGATGTTGTGAGAGTGATGCTGTGTAGACCACCACAATCATTATCATCAGTGAGAAACTTTGAATACTGAAGTTTTTCATGTTGTTGAAAGAGACCGTGAGCCAGCACTGTCAGGTTGAGCAGAAAAAGCTGAATACTCTACACACTCTTACTACCGTTGCTTATATTGTCATGTCTGTGACCACAAAATACAGGCGTCAGAGGAGGAAGACACCAAATAAGGAGTAGATGATGATGGGTATCTTTTACTATCAGTTCTTCCACTAGGTGTGAAAATTGTAAGGTTATCTGTTACTTTGGAATTACCTCACCCTTTATCAATAAAGTTTTTTCAAGTAATCATCTTAATTTGACATTTAATGTGTAAAAAAAAACACCAGAGAGCAGAAAATAACATACATCTAATGACCAAATACTATAATTTCACTCTCATATAGAATGCCTTTATTGTCACTACACACATGTACAATAAGATTAAAAATATATTCAGCCTGTTGTGAAAACACTTCTTTTTGTTTTTTACTTCTGGCAGCAGAAAAAAAAACTTGGTGAAAAGAACGATGACCCTGTTCCATTAAAGTGTGAGCCAGCATGCAGTCGTTATTAATGTAAATATATAATTAGTAACACCTGTGCTTTTCCTGTCATGACAAGTCTAAATGACTGCTCTGAGTAGGCACATGGGAAATATTTTGAGTCAGGTTTAAGTTTTATCCCACACATCAGACAGAGGAAAATGTGACTGACAGGAGAGGAAACAAAAGTCCTGCTAAGCTTCATTTTCATTTTAAGACCCCACATCAGCTGATGTAAGATTGCTGCTATTGTTAAAATAAAAACAAATATTCAGTGTGACAGGACATTATTGATACTGGAAACAGTAGTTTAACTAAAATATAACTCAAATAACTAACATAAAAGAATTTTGTTGACTGTCTGACAAGCTGGTCATAGGAGAAGTCAGTAACTAAGTTGTAATATTAAGCAGAAGAGAGTAACTGTTTTATCTGACCGAGGTTTTAGCTTGTATCTTTGCATGCTCTGCAACACATTCGCATCTCCACATTTTACATCTACTACTAGTAACTGGCAACCTTTGAAGAAGAGCTCCATCTTCAGGTAAAATGTATAACCATAGGAGTCACAATATTCACACCAGTTTATTTTAAGAGGTACAGGATGGGCAGAGATGCTACAGATGATCATGTTCTTTTAGTTATGTGTAATTAGAAAGTTGTAATGTTAGAAATCTGGATTTTTTTTCATAAAAAGCACATTTGTTTAAATACAACCAGTGGTTCCAACATTTTTTGGCTCACAAAAACACATTTCTGTGACTTGTTAGTTCACTTTCCCCATTAATCGTCTCTCAACATGCCAAATATACTGTATTATGTGACCTTTTGGAGGAGGCCCAACCCCTGAACTGGGATTCATTGGACCCCCACTACCCATCTGTGAAAGAACTAACCCTCAATACAATACAACCAGCTAACCGTAAATGCATGCTGCTTACTCACTGATGCATATATATATATATATATCTATATATATATTAAAATTCTTCTGTGTTGAAAACCAGAGTTGTTCTTAGCCCTTAACTGGTAATCACACAATGCCTCAGGTTGAGTCCATTGACCAATCAGAGGATGTGGGTTTGGTGTGTGTGACACATTTCGCAGTGGAATTACATTTACCATGACCAACATCTACTTTATTATGTCATCATGAAAAAAAGTTTCATTATCTTTCAAAGAATTTCATCAGATCAAAATGTTACTAAAAATATCTACTTACACTTTTTTTTTATGTAATCATCTAGTCTGATTAAATTATATTAATATATTATAATATTATATATTACTACTATATCATCAGTTACTACCCAACACTGATATAATATATATTATATTATAATAAAATACAATAATAATATATTATATTATATATTACTACTATGATCCGATATCCTGATTACATGTTATCAGTTACTCCCCAACACTGGTATATTTATTTATTTATACATTTTCA